CTATGAAAGTAACCTAATCCAAAATGATTACCCTTTTGAAATCAAAGGCTTAATACATATGCCACTTATTTCCATCTAAGGGATTTTTAAAATTTCGTTTTATGACACAGTTTCATAGGCTCTGGGATTCTCCCAACCCCTTCTCAAGCCCTCCCCCCATATTGAATTCCTCCATATTGTTACAGTAGCACAGTTCATAACCAGTCATGATTCCTTCAATGCAGGCGTGGACCATGCGGAGAGTCCAGCATCTTACTGTCCAGATGAATTCAACAGTTTCATTGGGAGACCATCCTTGGTCTGAAAGCAGAGCTGGCAGAATATCATGAATTCTTGACCTGTCCCTCTCCATGATCGCTTCCCCCTCCCTAGCACCACCTTAGTTCACTCACAGGTCTCACCTACCCAATAAAACCTTGTTCTGGCCGTCTTCCATGTCTGAGACACAGTAACCAGCCAGTGCTTGAGACTGAAATGTGAGCAAGCCACTCTGCTCTTCACGGCCCTTCCTACCGTCTGTTACTACCATCCATGCACCTCATTTGAACCCTGAACAGCTCCTCCCTGTTATCGGCTGTACCTTTTAGCATTCACCCCTCTCCATCCCAGCCACGTGACCTCTCTTGGTTTCTTGCAGTTGAGAGCTCCATTTCCCTCGGCATGGGAGATTCTCTCATTCAGCCTGTGGCCAACTTCCCAGCTCAGAGGCTCCAAGCCCACTCCTCCAGGGCACACCCTGACCCTCTCACAACCCTCAGCCCTCCTGGCAAGTTAACATCAATGACTGCCTTATCCCCTTCATAACTTATCCCAACTTTGATTTGTACATCTGCTTGTGCATTTAAATGTTCATCCCAAGAATAATGATGACAGCAGTTAGTATTTCTCAAGAGCATTCAATATACTGGGCTGACACATTATTGCTTTTCATTCTTGCAACAAATCTAAGAGACAGACTCTATACTATCATTTAGTCAACATACAAGCAAGGCATCTGAGGCACAGAGTCAGAAAATAATGAAGACATGACATGACCTAGCAATGTCACTAAAGAACCAGCACTATGCCATATCAACTCCCTCAAAATATGAAGCTGAGCCATCAACCCAAAAAAGGCAGGGCCCTTATGTAATAGTGCATCACTGCACTGCACTTACTGCTATTAGCACTTCACATAGTGCTCACCTTAGAAGGAGGCTTGACCAAACCTCTGGCCAATGAAAATCAGCATAAGAACCCTTCAGAAAATGCAGTACTGCAATCTACCATATACCTTTTAATCTTAACAGCCATTTTATTATACTGCTGAGAGAAAAGCAGCCAGTAGCTGGTGGGCATTCTGGGTCTTATTAATGCCAAATTTCTGTTAACTGTACCAGTATGCCACAATAGTTATTTATTCCCTATTTAAATATATATATATATGGGCAAGGCAGGGAACTCGGGCTGGGACACAGCACCACAGCTCCCAGGTGGGGGCTGTACATTACCTGGAGGGAAGATTTGAGAACATATTGATATGGGAATGGCTGAGGGCATGTTTGACAAGGGAGGAATGGATCTAGGGTCTTCCACAGACTGGGCTACTTTAACCACGGGTAGGCAAGGGAACTGAGTCAGAGTGGCTTAGAAGAGGAAATGTCTGGGTCAGACCAAGGCACCTGCCCACATGGGAAACCTGGGCTGGGTTAAACAGCATCACCTGCCACCCACTGGTGTACACACAAGCTAGGGCTGGAGGTGTCTGGCTAGGCTAGGCCACAGTACCCACCCACAAATGTCACAGCAGGGGTGGACCACATAAGGCTGGGCCACAGCACCCACCAGAACATGAGAGAACTGGATTTAGGGGCAGATTTTCTACAGTACTTGTGGACTCACCTCTGCAGAACCTGCCAGTTTATGTGGAGACCTGGGAGTGGTGATAGGCCCAGCCAGGCTGCACCACTGAACTCACCTGATAGGAACCTACCTGACACTTGTGGGAGCTGAGATTGGGAGGAGGCTGGGCAGGACCAAGGCACCTGCTAGTATTTGTGGGAACTGGGATTTGGGAGCAGGCTTGGTAGTGGAACTTGAGGAATTACCCTACTGGCTGGCCATGACAGGATGTGAGCCACACCCAGCTGGGCTAGGCTGCAATATCCATCAGTGAAAGCTGAGACTGTGGGCAGATCCTGCCAGGCTGAGTCGAAGCACCCATCAGTACATACAAAATACATGGCTGGGAACTAGCCTGGTAGGGAAACTCTGGTGACTCTCCTGTTGGGCTGCAGTTCCCATTGGTTAATATGAGAGCTGGGGCTATGGACAGCCCAGATTGGGCAAGGCACCCATCAACATGAGTGTGGACTGGGTCTGTGAGTGGGCCAAATTAGGCTAGACTCTAACACCTGTTAGTACTTGCAAGAGCCAGAATGAGTGTGGCCAAAGCTAGGCTAGGCTCTGTTACCCGCCAGCTCACATGACAGCTGGGTCTCGGGGTGGGCCAGGCTGGATTAGGCTGTAGTACCCACTGGTAAGAGACAGAATGGGTGAAGGCCACTGGGCTAGGCTGCAGTACCATGTCAGTCTGGGCAGTAGCAACCACCAGCACATGTGAGCTCTGAGGCTTGGAGTGGCCTGGTAGGGGAACCTGGGAACTCCTTTGCTAAGACACAGCTCCTGCTGGTGAGAGTGAGCGCTAAGGGAATAGGACAAACCAGGCTGGGCATACATCTGAGCTGAACCCACTGGCATACATCTGAGCTGTCTGGGGTGGGCCAGGTAGGATCAGTTCACAGCACACATTGGCATGAAATGAACTGGGGGCAGGCCAGGCATGACACAGCACCAGCACCTGTTGGCATATGTGATGGTTGAGACTAGGGGCAGACTGGGCTCAGCTAAACCGTAGCACATGAGCCGGATGGGATTTGGTGTGAGCTGTGCTAGGCCACAACAGAGGCTGGCATGTGTAAAACCAGGACTGAGGGTGGGCTTAACGGGATTGCTGGGGGTTGCCCCATCAGGCTGTAACACCTGCTAGTATGCATGAGGACTGGGTCTGTGGTGGGCTGGCTGCACCCAGTGATTAAGTTCACATGAAGTACAGGGCTGGGATAGAAATGACCAGACAGCTGCATCGACCAGTATGTGTTTTGATTGGCACAAGTGACAGAGCACACCTGATCCCCCACTGGCTGGTGCACATAAAAGTCAAATCTGAGGTCACCCTAGTCAGTTTTCTTGGGGTCCTCCCCAACTACACTGCTGGATTCAGACCCCAACCACAGGGAAAACCATGAGATGTGTGGTACAACCTTGAACTGGGCCTCCTCAGTTGCTGATGCTTGTGCAGTGGAGTGCCTGCTCACATGCACACAGGGAACATGACAGACTACTTTATCTGGGCCAGCAGGGGACACTGACTGCCTGTCAAACAGAAAGCACAACAAGTTGAATAATTCTCCTGGCCAAGTGCTGCAGCATGCTCCTGGATCTGTGGCTGCATTAAAGTGAACTCTGTCAATCAATGAACCATGGTTAGATTTTCTCAATACTGGAGCAACGAAACCAACAATTTTTCAGAACTATCAAAACTACTCAAGTAATAACCTTGGAACACTCTTCCCCACGCTGCAGTACCTAAGGCCTCGCCAAGTGACCACTAACCGTTACCCCAGATGCTGGTATAGTTTGATAACAAGAAATGGCCCCTTCCCATTCCTCCCCCGAGAAAACAGGAGAAAGGAAAGGAAGAAACATTTCTCCCACCTACCATCCTGCATGACTGACCCACGCCACCCTGACTGGAGGCCCACATGGGTATGCATCCTCCCTACTATGTAAACAAAAACAAAAAAGAAAATTCAAAAATATGAAGTCATTTTCTTTATACTACAGTCTCAGTTGTATAAACTTGTATGTTATATTTGAGAATAACAAAATTCTGTCTGTAAATAGCACCAAATTGAGACCAGTCTACCCTTTCCTATCCTCTGTTTTCCCAAGGCAATAAGGTTCTAACTCTAATAAGGTTCTAATTCTCTGGTAAATGTGCTGTGAAAACTCAAAACGGAAATACACTCCAGAAAGCCACACTAAACAATCAGGCAAAAAATGGAGTCAAAGCGATTGCTAATGAAAGTATACACAACCCCAATTGCGCATCTAGGGTTCATACATCCAACAAATGGTTATGAAGCACTTCTTACAAATCAGGCATTGCTACGAGAGATGGATTGAATACAATACAAGTCTCTGTTCTTATGAAGTTATATTTCCCAGAACAATAAAGGGAACTGTGTCAGGTGCAGTTGTGTTATGCAGAAGAATCAAGGAAGTCAAGGGACAGTGGTAAACCAGCAAGGTCACTGTTAATGGCTTATTTCTAGAAAAGTGAAGAATAGACACTTGAATGCTGAGTTCTGAGCAGAGACCTGAGTGAAACATGGAACCTTCACTAGATCTCATACCTCTTAAACCTTTAAAAGTTTGCCTTAAAAAGTCCTAAACCCTAACAACTACGGGAACAACCTGAGTAGCTTCTAAAACGTGGGAGTGGGCCCATTAAAAGTCAGCCATGGGAAACAGTGTTGAAAACTAAAAGATAAACCTTGGCAAAGTTCTCTGTTTTCAAGGAACTATACTTTTTTTTTTCTCTTACAAACTTTAGGATCTCAAAGATTTCTAATAGGCCTTTGCCATCCTGGGCTGCATTTCAAAGCAGAGGGTATCCTCACACCCATTCTCTAAAGGCATCAGAGATGGGAGGAACTGCTCCATTCACAAACAGGAACTAACAGAAGGGAAGTACTAAACTGCGCAAAAATTTAATTGAGCACTGACAAGAAATATGGGGGAGGGAAAAAAATCAGCACATAATTTCACCTAGGAAAAAACAAACGTGCCACAGGCAATGATGCCCAAGCTACGTTATTCCTTCTAAGGGTAACTGTCAAGATGTACAAAACCTCATTACAACGACGCTTAGAGGATGTCTGTGTGGTACACCTTACCTTCCAGAGACCACCAGAGTTCCGTCGTCGAGCAAATAATCCTTCACATCCTGAGGCAGTGGAAGGATGACACTGAAAACCAAACATCAAAAGGTGTCATTGTAAAAGATCGGCCGGATGCAGGTGAAAACGCTGCTCTCTCAGGTAATTTTTCGAATTATTCCCTTCATCTTAATACAAAGTAGAAAATGTTAACGGTATACATTTGGCAGCCACAGACTAGGGATTAGCACAATGTACATAAACACTGCAGTTCACATATCACAATAGGAAAATGACAACTTGGACGAACTGTGAGTGAGCACAATGAAATCTGCATCAGCAGGCATTCAGTGCAACAAACGAAATGCAGCAAAGAAAGCAGAAGATTAACAGCATCTGGCTACCTCCCAAGACAGAGGGCAGAGCGAGACTCAGGATCTGCACAGCCCTCTCTGGCGGGCAATGCACTCCAAAGGCTACAGATTCACATCATGTTGGCATCAACCTTGGTGTGATTCTGGTCAACTGATGGCCACAAAGCTGTTGAATTGCACATGCTTTAGCCTGATTTGCTCCCAATGATAGTAAGAAAGGGTGGCCAAGGCTCACTTGAAGTCACTTCAAAACTCAGGGTGGGGGTCCAGAGTGGTGGCCTAGCAGCTGAAGTCCATAGGTACACTGCTTCTAATCCCCGGCAGCCCCACTTCCCATCCAGCTCCCTGCTTATGGCCTGGGAAAGCAATCTAGGATGTTTGTGGCCTGGGAAAACAGCCCTGGGAACCCGAACCCGCATGGGAGACCCGAAGGAATCTCCACATCCTGACTTCGGAATGGTGCAGTTCTGGCCAATGCTGTCACTTCGGGTATGAATCAGCAGATGGAAGATCTTCCTCTCTGTCTCTCCTCCTCTCTGTATATCTGACTTTACAATATAAATAAATAAATCTTAAAAAAAAAAAAAAAAACAACTCATGGTGGATAGGTCTGGGCCTGGAGCTTAAGAACACCTGCATTTGGGCTTAGCATGGTAGCCTAGGGACTAAAGTACTTGCCTTGAATGCACTGGGATCCCATATGGGCACTGGTTCTAATCCCAGCAGCTCCACTTACCATCCAGCTCCCTGCCTGTGCCTGGGAAAGCAGTCAAGGACGGCCCAAAGCCTGGGACCCTGTTCCCGTGTGGTAGACCCAGAAGAGGCTCCTGGCTTTGAATTGGCTCAGTTTCGGCCATTGCAGCCACTTGGGGAGTGAATCAGCGTATGGAAGATCTTCGTCTCCTGTCTCCTATTCTCTGCATATCTCACTTTCCGATAAAAATAAATAAAGCTTAAAAAAAAAAAAAAACACGTGCATTCTATTATCAGAGCTTGGATGAGCAGTTCTGGCTCCCTTTACAGCTTCCCCTTGGAGACATGAACTAAAGCCCTGGCTCCCAGCTTCAGCATAGCAAAGCTGGTCATCGCCAGTATATGGGGAGTGCTTCACTGGATAAGAACTCCGTACTTCTCATCTTTCTGCATCTCAAATTACAAAATAAATAAATAAATAAGGAGGCCCACTAAAGAGCATGAAAACCAGGACAGGGAGCAGGGGTGGCTAGGCAGAAAGGCAACCAATAACATGTGTGTGGGCTGGATAGTGGAGCTGGTTAGGCTGAACTAGGCTTCAATGCTCACCGACATATTTGAGAGCGGAATGGGACATGGGTCAGACTGGACTAGTCTGCTGCACATGCTGGCAAGCACAGGAACCAGGGCAGGGGGTGAGCCTGGTGGGGTTATTGTGGGTCGCTCCGACCAGGCTGCAGCTCCCACTGGTTTATGTGAGTGTGGAGTGTATGCTGAGTAGAATTAGGCTAGACTGCAACACCCACTGGTTCCAGTGGAAGACAAAACCGACCCAGCAATTGTAACCAACCAGCTGATTGTGGCAATGGACTGTAGTGGGCCCTGTACTTGCAAGTACACATAAGAATCTGGTCTGGGATCACTTCAGACAAAGTTTCTTTGGGGATCTCCCCAATCGAACTGCCAGACTCAGAACCCATGGTTTGCCATGGAATGCAAGTGCAACAGCAGAGTCTTTTCAGAGGCTCAGACGGAGCAGTGGAAAGCATAACCAGCTGCACGTGGAGGACATGACAGTCTATCGGAACCTGCAGAGGACACCTGGTACCACAAAAGAGGTCAGAACAAATCAATCAACTACCCCAGCCATGTGTTGGCAGTGAAAAACTGGGCAAATGGAGACTCTAAGGTGAACTATCTTGATCAGCGGATTCTGCAGCGACCTCATCATGCTTGTCATGGTGAGACTGGCAGCAATTCATAACTGTTGAACTACCAAAACCACTTGAGTAAGACCCTCGGAGCATGCCCCACATCAGGGACCTGGGATGGGTGGGAGACTGGGTGGGGCTTCTCATTTTATCTTCCCCTTTACCCCAGACACAGGAAAAAAAACAATGTGGAAAAATAGTCTTACCACTTTCCTGTAGCCCTTGAACCTTTGTGCCATAATTAACTATGTAGATTGTCAAAAAATAAAGAAAAAAAGGAGGCCAGTGCGGTGGCATAATGCGTTAAAACTAACTCCTGTGACACAGACATCCCACGCGGGAGCCAATTCAAGTCCCATGGCTCCCTGTTCATGTGTCAGGGAAAGCAACAGAGTATGGCTGAGGCCCTTGCACCTCTGGGAGACCTGAATGAAGCTCCTGGCCCACGGCTTTGAACGGGCCCAGTCTCGGCCTTTGCAGCCATCTGGGGAGTGTACCAGAAAACGGAAGATTCTCTCTCACTTATAACTCTTTCAAGTAAATAAATAATCTTTAAAAAATATAAAAACCATGGTTAGGGTAAATCATTTTTACCATGCAATAACAAATCACCAAAAATTGCCATAACTAAAAGTAATATTATTATTATTTCATCTTGATGTATTATCTACTGATTTAATTCTTATTTGCTTGTTCATTTTCACTTTTTGTTTGAAAAGCAGAGAGACAAAGGCAGATGAAGAAATATTTCATCTGCAGGTTCACTTCCCAACCACCCTCAATAGCTAGGGTCTCCCACATGAGGGCTTGGACCCAACAACCTGGGAGGCAGGTGGTCATGTCCTGTCCCCCTAGCCCAGCTCCTGCAGGCTGTGATCAGCAGGAAGCTGGAAGGACAGCCAGGACTCAGAACTCAGGGAATCACTGTGAATTGCTGCTGCCCCAAAGGGAACCTGAACTGCAAAGTCAACGCCCATCCCCCAGGGCTTAAACTTTCCAAAAAGAAAAAAAAAAAAAAAAAAGCAGCCACTTTCACAGTCAACAGGGCATTATTTTCTTTTTTTTAAAGAGTTTTTTTAATTGGAAAGCTAGATAGAAAGGAGAGACAGAGAGGAAGATCTTCTGCCCATTGATTCCCCCCCCAAGTGAAGGTAGCGGCCGGAGCCACAGCGATCCGAAGCCAGGAGCCCGGAGCCCCTTCCAAGTCTCCTATGCAGATGCAGGGTCCCAGGGCTTGGCCTGTCCTCGACTGCTGTCTCAGGCCACAAGCATGGAGCTGGATGGGAAGCAGAGTAGCTGGAATATGAACCAGTACCGGCATGTGCAAGGTGAGGACTTTACCTGCTAGGCTACTGTGCTGGTCCCAGGACATCAACTTTTAATAGGTCTCATTTATGTACTGAACAAGCTTTCTGACATATTACAAAATGTGGTCATTTTTTTTTTTTTTTGGCATACAAAATGGACTACTCATGGGCTAATCAGATTTTTAAAATGAGTATTTGATTTAACAATGTTACAATGTCACATTCAAAAACCTAGTCCTTCCTTGGGCTTTTAAACTCAACTAAAAATTCTTATTACTTCACTTGTAATTTTACTAAATTTTAACCATTTTTAAGTAAGCCTTTGCAACTTAAATATTTCTTTAGCAAGTTAAACTCTACTTTAAAAACTAGACAAATTTCTTGTGTAGTATGTCTACTGTCTGATTACAAATAAGCCTTAGCAAGTATTTATCTTTTACACAGCTAACAAACTAAACTGTAAGTATTGTACATCCAAAGTTTTCACAAACACCTCAGTAGTACTTAAGAATTTGAAAAACTTTATCATATTTTAACATCACAAATTAAAACCATATACACTACTTAAAATGTTTTGTATATGACAATTATCCTCAAAATGGCAAAGTCTTAACACTAAGTACATTCAACAGAAAAATAAGTAAACTCAGGTTTAAATTATTTCATCACTTCTGTATTTAATTCTAACTTTCCCTTCAGTTAAAGATACATTTTTTCATTTTTTCTAATTTAAGATCTATTTACTTTTATTGCAAAGTCAGATATACAGAGAGGAGGAGAGACAGAGAGGAAGATCTTCCGTCTGCTGATTCACGCCCCAAGTGACAGCAATGGCTGGAGCTGAGCTGATCCAAAGCCAGGAGCCCGGATTTTCTTCTGGGTCTCCCGTGTGGGTGCAGGGTCCCTTTTTTTCTAAGAAAACAATACCATCCCAAAGAATGAGAGATGACTTTTCCAAGAAAATTTTAAGTCTTATGTTCTTGGCAGTCTCAGGCTGATGTGTTAATTTATAGATAATCAGGGTGATTTTTCTTACAGACTCCTCTCTCCTCTTTCCTAACAATGACATCTCTTGGTCCCAAGAGATGGTTTCAGAGTTCACCATCCTGAGGCAGTGTTTTCAGAGCCTACATCCTTTGCTTCTAAGTTACACTACCTTTCAGGTCTGACTTGATCTGGCTCTCCCTCAAGCTGTATTATCCTTGCACTGGATTCAAACATCTCTTAACTGTTTAATCCCACTCTGAATTCTTTGGCTAACTTTTTCTATTTGGCAGGTCCTCAGTTCTGAGAAATAATTAACTGACATGAAGCTAGAGCCTGCATAGCACTCATAGGTCACCCAGCTCTATAGTTACACTTGTAAGGTCATCCTGACGATATTATTTTGCACTTGTGTTATGCAAAACAACAAGGACCTCAACATTATTCTGATAAAAATGCAAACGCAAAACCAAAAAAATAGAAAGAAAAAAAAAAATCAGTTCATCAGCACTGTGCCAAGCAGGCGCTGTGCTTGTCAGACTGGGCACAAACAAGTCACTGCAAAGCAAACTGGAGCTGAAGAGGCTATGAAGGTCGCCGTAGGAGCGGGAAGCCCCTAGGCCTGCCTGGCACACTCACCAGGCCAAATGACAAAGCATCCCTCACATCACCTTCCTACAGGCAAGGTACACCAACGGGATGTTACAAGTAAAGTGGACTTTCAGAGATTATTTACTACAACCTTCATGTTTAGGGGTGAGGGGAGTAGTCAAATTTAGTCAAAATACATGATCTGTAACATACTCAATTATTCTTTAGCCTAAGTCAAAGTCCTAGAACTTGTCAAAAAGCAATCTTGCATAAGCGCCTCTGGGTCATGAATAATAAACATCAAATAATAATGCTGAGCCAACAGCCAGAATGCGGCCCTACCGGCCCGAAAGCTGTAGCGGGCGATGTCAGAGCTCCCAGACTGATCTGCCTGGGCTGCGAGGGACCCCTTGTCCTAGGTTAAGTGCTTATGCTGTCACCACAGCACAAAACAGACTAGGAAAAAGGTTTAAAGACAGACTAAAGGAGCTTGGGACAATCCTGCTTAATTGTGGGTTGTTCAGTCTTTCCAGACAGATCCTACCCTGGGATCACTTCTTTTTCAGACCCAGCTTCCTACAACTGGGACATTTTTTAAGCAAACAAAAATTCTTGGCCCTCCCAGGAATTTTTTTTAATTAAATCCAAAATGGAGCAAGCACCATTTCTGTGTGTTGACTCTGTGCAGGAAAGAATGCTTTCTCTTGCTGGATTCCCATGATGATCCTGCTATTTTCTCCATTTTCCAGATGGAGAATCCCATTTTAGCAGGACTAAACAATTTGTTCACGGTGCTGGTGCAACAAGAATCCCAAGCCAGGAATGGGACTTTTGACCTCAGAGGCCGACTGTAAACCCCTACATGCTGTACTACCGAACTCAAAGAAAGCCCCCACCACAGGCTGGCAAGAGGGGCTGCACAGCTTCAAGTGCAGGTAGTGTGAAAATGCCCACTACGGCCACAAATACACCTTCAATCGCACCAACACAAAATAAAGAACCCCAGCATTGCCTCGGATCCAAAGCCTATTGTAATGGCTTCCGCCCTTGCCTTTGTTTTGGCGTGAGCGCAACCATCTTCCAACAAAAAAACTATTTTCAACTATTTTCCTCTAAACCACATCCCCCTGGGGACCACTGAATAACAAGACGGAACCAGAACAGAGCCCTTCCACCTGCTGACAAGTTCCAACCAGGATGGTGTCTGAACCCACACTCTGTGTCACCTGCAAGGTGATGGGCAGCTGTTGGCCCAGCGACAACTGGAGGCCTGCCGGGAAGGAGTGAGCAAAACGCCAGCTCCCGCCGCGGCAGAGGGAGGGAAGGCAGATTCTAGCTTAGCCGTTCGCTTAACATCCCTCCCTCGTGATCTCCTCCTCGCTCCCTTGCCCTACTCCACATTGGAGCAGCACGAACACCTGCCATGCATCCTAGCGACGGGCACCCTGCTCTAGGCCTGACAGCTAGAAACCAGGGACAGCTCCCGCACCCTAACAACACGGAGGCCTTCCCCCATACATACCATCCACCGCCCTGCAGCAGCCCGACACGACCCACTTGACCCACCAAGTCGCCCAGTCATGCACCGAGCCGCGACCCGCCCCCTCCCCGCCCCGGTCCTCCCCAGCGTCCTGCTGGCGCTCCTGCAATCATGAAGGCCGCCGGCTTCGCAGGTGTCCACTTGGCCGCAGCCACCACGACCTTCCCCGTTTCCCACTCTCCCCAGGAGACGCTCGGGAGTACCGACCAGCTTCATCCACCTCCCCGCCCGCAACGCCAGCCTGGGGGTGGGCGTCGCGACGCGGCGGCTCCCAGCCCTCCGCCCTGAGGCCCGTCTGGGAGGCTCTCAGGACGCACCGCACGCTGCACCTGCCCCGGCAAGGCCCGTCCGCGCCTCACCTCTTGATGGTCAGACTTCGGAAGAGCGGGTACCACGCGGAGAACTGACAGTGCAGCACCTGCTCCTTCTTCATCCTCCAGCCGCCGCGGCCCGCTGCCCCTTCGCACCCCTCTGCTGCCAGCTCTCTCCCGGAACCCTGGGAGACCCGCCGCCGGAAGTGCCGCCGGGCGGTTTAGGCTCAAGGACGTTTCCGGTCTCCGTTTCTAGAAAGCGGAAAAAAAGACGCGGAGATGGAGAAACCTAAGTGGGAAGCGGGGTACACCTAGTGAACACACAGACTGTCTCCAGAGACGCTTGGCGAAACGTACAGCAAGAAACGCGCAGCAGCGTACGGCTCTGCGGGCGCACACCGGCCCTCACCCGGAAGGTAATCATCTGCCGTGAGCGGCCAGAGGGCGGTGGCGGTGAGCGTTCTACGGGTGCCGGGAGGAGGGCGCGCTCAAATCTCGGTTCCCCCGCGAGAGGCGCCCGAGTGTCCAGTCTCGGTAGCAGCGTGCGCGCTGAGAAGACTTGTCCTTCCCTCCTGCACCTCACACCTCTGAGCAGGTAACGGGCCGTTTCCAGTCTCCCTGGGGACCAGGAGGGAGCCTGCCCGTCTGGGTGGTGTGGCACACCTGGGTGCAGGCAGCGGCGCGCGGGTCTCCCGGGGTGCATGCGAGCAGGGGGCTGCTGGAGGAACGCAGCCCCACGCTCCGGATGGAGGCATCGGCACGGAGAATGGCTCCTTTTCCCCGTTCGTGCGTGGGTGAGGGGGATGAGAGAGGGAAGGGATCCCGGCTGCATGAGCCGGGGAGGGTGCTGGGGTGTGGGGTAGGGGAAGGTGGGGAGATCTTGGGACATTTAAACCGAAAAGGAGAGGTAAATTGGAGAGACAGAGGAATCGGGAAAGTTGTTCCTGCAGCGTCAAGTTCCTTTAGTGGGGCCCCGGCAAAGTCAGCCTGCACCAACACAACCAGATGGAGATCCATGTCCCAGCATTGGTGGCATCCTGAGTCGGGGGCGGGGGAGGGGATCCTAGCCAAGTGGCATAAGATGGCTCATTTTCTGCACTCCGCTCTTTTCCCATCCCTATAACATTCAAGTTGGGTTTGATTTCTTTACATGAATGAGGTGTCCCTAGCTGCAAGGGACCATGCCGTACCGTCCATCCCAGTCACCAGTGTCCAGAGGCGCACCGGATCGCCGGCTTCTGCCTCTCACCGCGCTGTCACCGACCACCTGAACCCAGAAGCCGCTGTGAGACCTAGAAACCAGGCTCTTTAAAAACCAGTTCAGTAGCACGAAACGCGGGATATGCCGTTCATTTGGAATTGTAAACCCTTTTCCCTGCGTCATGTCCGTTTATTTATTTATTTTTTTTCCTCTCGGAAATCTTACTGGCTAAGTGGTTAGTTAGCCGCTCGTTTCGGGAGGATATCTTTTTTCATGGTGGAGGTGTAAGGATATGAGGACGATCTGGCCGCAACCCCATTGTTCACGAGGGTTGATTCAGCCCATCTGGTTGGCTAGGTGGGTGTCCCCTTCCTCCCTCACCGCTCCATGTGTGTTCCTCCCAAAACTGCGCGCTCAAAGAGAATGGCCATCCCCGCTAGCGGAGGACCGGTCTTCAGTCAAGGGTATAGAATATAGCAGCTCTCTGCTAGAACCTACAAACCGGCTCTCAAAGTTGCGAAAATAGGTACGAGGGCTCTGTGCGACAGCTCTATGGTTAAATCCTTACCTTGTACATGGCAGCATCCCATATGGGCGTTGATTCGCAGCCCGGCTGCTCCTCTTGCCCCTCTTGCCAACTAACTCGCGGTCTACGAAAGCAATGGAGGACGGTGCAAAGCCTAGGGACCCTGCGCCCACGTGAGAGACCCAGAAGAGACTCCCGGCTTCGGATTGGCTCAGCTCCCCGCCGCTGCGGCCACTGGGAGTTACCCAGAGGGCGGAAGCCTTTTCAGTCTCTCCTCTCTGTCAATCGGTCTTTCCAGTATTTAAAAGAAAAAAATCTTTTCAGGAAAATATTTAAGTGTGATGATTACAACCAGAAATATCCAGCAGAACTTTGATGATTACTTGTTTCTGTATTCCACATAAATCAGTGGCTTTTCTGTGCAATTATTCTGACTGATCGTAGGCTTTCCTGATTGGCTGCCTGATGGTACCCGTGCGGTCATAAAATGAATTGTTTCTGCAAAACATTGATCCAGTCTCTACTTACTTTCGGCTAGAATGCACATTACTCTTTTGGTTCAAGTTGTTGTTTTTGTTTTTAATAATCTTACTTAGTTAATTAGGATACAAGGGCTACAGAAAAGAGGGTAAGACCATTGTTTCTACACTAATATCATCATTTATTTTTCTCTGTATCTGGGGTCAGGGGAGAAATACAGGGAGAAGCCCCATCTAGCCTCCCGCCCATCCCAGGTCCCCAAAGTGAGGCATGCTCTGAGGGTCCTGCTCAAGTAGTTTTGAAAGTCAAACAGCTCTCAATTGCTGCCAGTCTCGCCGTTCCAATCGCGATAAAATCTCTTCAGAATCCACTGGTTAACCTAGTCTCTACATGGATGGGGTTCTGAGATCAGCAGTTCAGTTGGAAGGATCTCCAAAGAAACTTGGTCTGAGGTGATCCCAGACCTGATTCTTGTGTGTGCTTGTCAGTAAAGGGTCCAGCACAATCTGTCGCCCCAATCAGCTTATGCATATGCTGGTCATTGCAATTGCTGGGTCAGTTCTGTTTCCAGCCCTGCTTCCATGCGAAGCAATGGTTGTTGCAGTCCAGCCCGATCCTGCCCACTTCATACTCAGCCCTCACACAAACCAGTGGGAGTTGCAGCCTAGTTGGGGTGACTCCCTATAACCTCTACTCAGCCTGCCCCCTACCCTGGTTCTCATGCATGCCATATGTACAGCTTATTCAGTCTGTCCCACATTCCATTTAGCTCTTATACATATCAATGGGCATTGAAGCCTACTTCAACCCGTCCAACCCTACTATCCAGTCCACACACATGCTGGCAGGTGCCTTTCTCTCTAGCCACCCCAACCCTTGTCCTGGCTTTCACGTTCTCCAGTGGGAGTGGTAACCTAAGAGGGAGGTGCCCACTGTCTCCCTACTAGACCACTCCCATTCCGGAATTATGCACACTCCAGGTAGTTCTGGAGTTTAACAGGACAGATTAAGCCCCCAGTGCCAGCCACTGCCAACTGATGCTATGGCAAAACCCAACCAACCCACACCCACTCTTTTTTTGCTTGCACCAGTCAGAACAGTCAGCCCAACATTGCCCTTCCCTGATCTAGCTCACATGAGGCCCACAGGTGTTGTAGCCCTGCCTGGTCTGGTCTGCCCCATCCCAACTCAATCCCTCCAGTGGGAGTGGTTGTCCAGCAGGGGAGCCCCCATTCCCCCTGCCGGCTTTGCCCATTACTCCCCGCCTCTCCCAATTCTCACATGTGCTGGTTGGGCACTACAACCACATCTGGTACGGCTCACCCTACCTTAGCATTCCTTAATGTGCACCGGTTTGTGTTGTGACTGAACCCGGCTTGACCCACACTATTCTGGTGCTCAGATTTGCACACCTTGTGGTAGGACAAGTTTGGGAGGGCTTTGGGCCTTGGGGTTGGGGAAACTGCAGCTCCCTGGAGGGTGGCCCTGTGGGGGGTGCCCCAGCCAGGCCTGACCCAAAGCTTTGGACTCGCGCCAAAGTCACTGCCAGCAGGCAGTGACTGAGTCCTCTGCTTTGGGCCTGCTGGCCGCCCGGTGGTGAGCTCCGGGGTTTTTAGGATATGTAATTGCTGCCTAGGGACACCCATGAATAAGGCCAGTATTAATGTAGGTGAGAGATGAAGTCTGGGTGACTCCCAGTAACGGGCTCACAAAACTTTTGAGTAAATGTGGGCTCTGAGACCTGATGGTTTGGAGGAGAGTGTCCATAAGAGCTATTTGGGCCAGACTGATTCACCAGCCCAAATGGGAATCCTGAGATGGGCTTTTAGCATAGAGCATCACTGACTGCCACATACCAGTCCACACCAAAGCTATGGATGGGGGCCTGTTCTGGGATAGGTACCATTACCTATCTGGGCAGTGCAATAGTAGACTCGTCACAGTGGTCAAGACACTAACCAGCACGCGAGAGAACTAGGTCCAGGTGTAGACTCTGTTGGGGAAGTGTGGGCCCAACCTTGTGGAAATATAAGTCCCACAGGTTAGTTCTCAAGCTGGGGTGGTATGGGCTGAGCTAGGTATGACTGTGGAACCTGCCATCACTTATGGGTAAAGAAACCGATAGCAGTCTCTGCAGGTCAAGGCAGCAGCACCCAAATGTGCATCCTAAAATAGGATGTAGGGGTGGGTCAAGCTGCAATTGGAAAGGGGTGGACCGGGCAAGGCCAAGCAAACCTCAGCTCACAAGAAAGAACAGAAATCAGGAAGAAGCACATGTCATGCCAAACTAGACTCCTATACTGGACTGGTCTGCATAAGTCAGGGATACTAGGCCACAGAATCAAAGGCAAAGGCTGAGACAGGTGAGGGGCTAAACCAACTGGGTCAGAGCAACCACTAGCACGCGTGCAAATTAGGGCTGAGAATAGGCTCGGATGGGGAGCTGTGAGAGTACACCCTTGCTGGGTTGGGGTCCCCAGGGAGAATGCGGGGCTGGAGTGGAGGCTGCATTCTGGTCTGGATATGGCTGCAATCTCCCTAGGCACAAGTGTGGACTGGGACTGGGCGCACCGAGCTGGGCTAAACGCCAGCACCATCTGGTGCTCTGGAGAACCTGGGTATATGTAGGATGGACTAGGCTAGGTTTCTGCCCCTACTGAGCCATGTGTGAGCAGTGTCTGGGTATGGACAAGCCTTGGCTGGGCTGAAACATCCAACAGTAAGAACTGGAATGGATTGAAGGCTAGCAAAATGGGCTGGCCCACGGACCCACCAGTAAGCAAAAGATCTGGCATAGGGAGAGTTTCTGATGGAGGAGCCTAGGAAACTCCTCTGTCGGAACACAGTCCCTAAAGGTGAGCACAAGAACCATGATAAGGAGCAACCCAGACCAGGCCAGAGAAAGATACCCACCGGCATACAATTGGCATAAGGTGGGGGGCTTACCAGGCTGAACCCATTCACATCACCGCTTGGCAAATTTTTTTCTAAGATTTATTTTTATTGGAAAGGCAGATTTATAGAGAGGAGGAGAGACAGAGAGAAAGAGCTACCATCTGCTGGTTCACTCCTCAAGTGACCACAAAAATCAGAGCTGAACCCTTC